TGGCCAGCCTGCAAACAGCCATTAGCCCCTCATCCAGCCTGGCCAGGCACTCCTATATAATAAAAGGGTAATATGCAAATTGACCCTAACAGCAGAACTACTGGGAATGACTGGTCACTATGACACACACTGACCAACAGGGGGCAGACGCTCAATGCAGGAGCTGCTCCCTGGTGGTCAGTGCACTCCCACAGGGGGAGCTCTGCTCAGCCACAAGCCAGGCTGACGGCTGCCAGTACAGCGGTGGTGGTGGGAGCCTCTCCCGCCTCCTCAGCAGCGCTAAGGATGTCAGACTGCAGCTTAGGCCTGCTCCCCGCTGGCAAGTGGACATCCCCTGAGGGCTCCCGGGCTGCCAGAGGGGTGTCTGATTGCCAGCTTAGGCCCAATCCCCCCCAGGGAGCAGGCCTAAGCCAGCATTGGTCATCCCAGAGGGGTCCCAGACTGTGAGAGGGCACAGGCCGGGCTGAGGGACCCCCCTGAGTGCACAAATTTTTGTGCACTGGGCCTCTAGTAGGAAATAAAAGCTTATAAATAGATACTTTAGCTGTGAAAATAGCCATAGGATAAATAACTGAGAGTGGAATTAGGGTGGCAAGAATCAAAACAGTTTAATTTTTCCAAATTATAATCATGCATCAAAACACAAGTACTAAAAAAAAAATCAGATCCAGGTTCATATTCAGGTGGGCGAAAGTTCTTCTTAAGAGAGTATAAAAGATTGTTACTAAAATTCTATTTGACTATATTAAAAAATTTAAATTTACTGAAAATAAAACTAATTTTTAACTTTAAAAGTGCTACTAAGTAGAACAAAAGGCAAAAACAAATTAGTAATAATAATGCCAGAAAGAATACCCTACCATTTTTTTAATTGGGAGTTTATGATACTAGTAAATATGGGAAAGCAAAGGCAAACTAGGTAATTTCTACAATATTTTCCCTTTTTTAATACTAAGTAAGTTCTTAAGTAGTTTTCTGAGTCATAAATTACAATTTTGATTATATAGGCAAACATATCCTATATAATAAGAGAGGGATATGCTAATTAGCCCAGATACACTAATCAGTCCTGACCAGATATGCTAATTAGTCACAACCAGTATGCAAATTGACTATCACTCCAACAAATAAGAGAGGGATATGGTAATTAGCCCTAATATGCTAATTAGTGACAGCCAGTATGCAAATTGACCATCATTCCAATACACAACATGGCCGCCCCCATGTGGCCACAAGATGGCCTGCAGGGGAGGGCACTTGAGGGGGGAGGCGACCCTCCATGGGGGGGGCCGGGCGGGGGGGGGGGGGGCGGGGGGGGGGGGGGGACCAGGCCTGCATGAGAGGGCAGTTGTGGGGGACTCAGGCCTGCAGGGGAGGGCAGTTGAGGGGGACACAGGCCTGCAGGGGAGAGCAGTTAGGGGTGACCAGGCCTGCAGGGGAGGGCAGTTAGGGGTGACCAGGACTGCAGGGGCGGGCAGTTGGGGGGGACCAGGCCTGCAGGGGAGAGCAGTTAGGGGCAACTGGGCCAGCAGGGGAGCAGTTAGGCATCGATCAGGCTCGCAGGGGAGTGGTTAGGGGGTGATCAGGCTGGCAGGCAGAAGTGGTTAGGTGCAATCAGGCAGGCAGGCGAGTGTTTGGGAGCCAGCAGTCTTGGATTGTGAGAGGTATGTCCGACTGTCCGGGATCGGGCCTAAACGGGCAGTCGGACATCCACCGAGGGGTCTCAGATTGGAGAGGGTGCAGGCTTGGCTGAGACACACACACACACACACACACACACACACACACACACCCATGCACGAATTTCATGCACCCGGCCTCTAGTTACGAGTATAATATAAATTAGGTAAGGCTATTGTGATGGAAATACTCCAGTAATAACACTTAAAAACTATATATATTAATGTTTTAATGAATGTACTAATGCTACTTGAACCATACACCTAAAAATGATTAAAATGATAAATTTTGTTACATTTTACTATGTGCACAAAATTTTTTAGCTCTTCATGAAAAAGCTTTTGCTCACTCGAAAAGCTAAATATTCTATTAGAACATCATGATCATAAGTAATAGTAATAAAGAAAACTAAGAATCTAGTAGTTATTGTAAAATAAGGTAAAAATTTTTAATTCTAACAAAAATACTGATAATTTCATGTCATTTAGACAATGATTGTCTTGAGATTAAGACTGCTTTAGATACACATGGTCTTTAGCAAATAAATAAAACTCATTATAAATAAGTAAAACAAACCAAAAGCTATGATAAACATTCAACATCTGTTAACTTTCCCAGAGAATCAGTGCTTGTACACTGAATGAGAAACACTCCTTTGGCTAGACACATCAGCTGTTTTCTCTGAAACTTTTTATCCAGAACATGGCTTGGGTAGCTGATGGAGACTGTTGTGTTTTATGATGAGCCTCTATAGTTTTAGATGCCTCAAGACTAGCTTGGAATTTCAAAAGTTACATTTTCAGTCTACTGCTTTTCTTGAAATTAAAAGATTCTAGAATTAAATACCAAAATTAGCTGATACATAGTACAAAATTTCAGAAGAGCAACATCAAAGTAAAGTTGCTACTCCTTTAAAAAAAGTGTAAAGGTCCTGGCCAAGTGACTCAGCTGGAGAGTTGACCCATACACCAAAAGGTTGCAGGTTTGATCCTGGTTGGGGCATGTATGTGAAGCAACCAATCAATGTTTCTCTCTCTCTCCACCCCAACCCCATTCTCCCTCTCTCTAAAATCAATAAACATATCCTCAGGTGAGGATAAAGAAAAAAAAAAAACCGTGTAAAGAAGTTCTTTTAAAGTATTAGTTATTTGAATCAAAATCAGTTCCATAGAGAATCAGTGCTTGTACACTGAATGAGAAACACTCCTTTGGCTAGACACATCAGCTGTTTTCTCTGAAACTTTTTATCCAGAACATGGCTTGGGTAGCTGATGGAGACTGTTGTGTTTTATGATGAGCCTCTATAGTTTTAGATGCCTCAAGACTAGCTTGGAATTTCAAAAGTTACATTTTCAGTCTACTGCTTTTCTTGAAATTAAAAGATTCTAGAATTAAATACCAAAATTAGCTGATACATAGTACAAAATTTCAGAAGAGCAACATCAAAGTAAAGTTGCTACTCCTTTAAAAAAAGTGTAAAGGTCCTGGCCAAGTGACTCAGCTGGAGAGTTGACCCATACACCAAAAGGTTGCAGGTTTGATCCTGGTTGGGGCATGTATGTGAAGCAACCAATCAATGTTTCTCTCTCTCTCCACCCCAACCCCATTCTCCCTCTCTCTAAAATCAATAAACATATCCTCAGGTGAGGATAAAGAAAAAAAAAAAAACCGTGTAAAGAAGTTCTTTTAAAGTATTAGTTATTTGAATCAAAATCAGTTCCATTGGCCCTGGCCAGTTGTTCAGTGGTTAGAGCACTGGCCCACTGACCAAAGGGTCACGGGTTCAATCGCTAGTCAAGGGCACGTACTTTGGTTGCAGGTTCAATCCTGGGCTCTGGTTAAGGCACGTGAGGGAGGCAAGAGTTGATATGTCTCTTTCACATCGATGTTTCTCTCTCTCTCTCTCTCTCTCTCTCTCTCTCTCTCTCTCTCGCTCCCTCCCTCCCTCCCATCCACTCTCTCTAAAAATCAATGGAAAAATATCCCCAGGTGAGGATTAACAACAAAACAGAATAACATTTAAAAGTAACTTTACTCTTCTGAAAGTAAAGGTGAATCTAGTAGGCAATTAGTGATGCAGTTGATATGCTCAGTTAAAAACGTAAAATTAGTCAATTAAATCTCAGAGAAATGGAGCAATAGTTTTCTTACAAAAAATATCCACTCAAGAACAAAGACAATGAGTCAAAGAGCTCAGTACTTACAAAATAAATCTGAATATACAGGCACACTTTGTTTTATTGTGCTCTGGAGATACTGTGCTTTCATCAACATTGAGGCAATACTCTCCACCAGCAAAAAAATTTTGACTCAATGGGGGCTCAGATGAGGGTTAGCATTTTTTTTAGTAATACCTTTAAATTAAGGCATAAACATTTTATTACATATTATGCTATTGCATAGAAGGACTACAATATACTATCAACATAATATTTATATGCACTGGGAAAAATTTGTTACTTGCTTTATTGCGATATTTGCTTAATTGCAGTGGTTTGAAAATGAACTCACAAAATGAGGTATGCCTGTATACACGTCTGTACCTTTGGAATATCACCATTTTGACCTAAGAGTCTCATTTCGGTTTCGACACGATGGAGCCAATTAGTATTCTCATCAAATTGCTTCAATTCTTCTTCCCTTTTCTTCTGTAAGTAGCAGCGACGAGTTTTTAACATTGCAAGTCTATGATCTCGTTTGCAAGTGGCCTGAAAAACAATGCATTTAAGTCAATTTAATTCTTAGGATAACTGATGCATGTGATATTAGTAAAATAGTATATTTTCTCATAAGTGTGCTACTGCAGTCTATTAAGTAAGGCTATACTTTCGTACTTAAAGCTATTTCTTCTCTGAAATCTCACAATACTACTGCTTGCAGGAAAATAAAAACTGAGTTGTGAGTCATTTTATAAAATTACATGTTGAGAGTTTATGGCTTTCAGAAACAGAATGGCCAAATTGAAGACTATAAATAACTTTCGTGTATGAGTGTGTTAAAATACATTTCTTTAAATGTTTCATTTGAAAATTCCATACACTGATAAGTCCCATGATTTTCTTACTAAAAATTAAAATAGATACATGTCCTATTCTTGTCCTCACTCCAATTTGAAAGATGTGAAGAGATAGAGTTTTACTGCTCTGATTTTACCTATAAGGCCTTTAGGTTGGCTGGTGCAAATAACTGAAAATAGAGCTTATATCAGAATGGTCATAAATATCTGATCTTGCTTGATGCATAATGGATATTCCAAATATTTTCTGTGTTTTAACCTAGGCCTGAACTGAGATCAAAACTGGCCTTTTGGTTTCTTACCCCAAGGGTCTTGCACACTTTCATAGAACTGTGGGCTAGAGCAGCTTGACCTGTCTGGGCTATTTGCCAAAAAGACACTGAACTTGATAATCATCGATTATGATGGCTGGACCCAAGAAAACAGATCCCCATGAATTAATATATGCTCCTGAAGCTGATTTTGGAAGTAGAAAACTACATGAAAACACATCTGAGGTGGTGGTCTAAGAGAATTTAGAAGTAATAAGAGAAAGCTTTTTAATAAATAATATATGAATGTATCTTGTGCAATACCCATGTAATTATATTACATAAATACATAAAAAATAAAATTAACCTGATCCTCAATGAATACCAAAACTGAGGCAAAAAAAAGTTATCCAGTATTTTCAAAATGTTTATTTTTCCACTCTTTGGTAACCTGGCTCTGCACATGTCCATGAATACCATTTTATTTTTATCACTAGAGGCCAGGTGCACGAATTCATGCAAGGCGGGGTCTGGCCGGCCTGCTCCCCAGCCCTCTGGTCGAAATTCTGGTTGAACTCCCAGTCAAGGGGACAATTTGCATATTAGCCTTTTATTATATAGGATGCTTAGAACTCATGCTTCTTGAGTTTACATCTTACTAGTCCTAAAACATGCTGAGCCTTAAATTGTGCATATTATAGTTTCACCTTTTATACTAATACATCTCCTGTTAGATAAATGCATGAATTTTGAGTCTACCCATTTATTCACATTTCCCATCTTTTCATCCTCTGACTTCCTCAGACTTCCCAGTTCCTTAATTCTCTCTTTAGCTATATCTAAGATGCGAAAAGCATAGAGATAAGAGCATAGGCTCCGGAATCAGCTTTCTTGAGTTCAGATTACAGCTTTTTGACACCTATGAGCTCCGTGACCTTGGGCAAAATGAATTATATGTGCCTCGTTTCCTCACCTTAATTATGAGAATAATAATAGTATATATTTCATAGAACTGAATGATTTAATATACATAAAGTACTTAAAACATTGCCTAGTATTGTATCTATAAAGCGAAATTTTAAATTTATTAACTAAACTTTAATTTCTGGATACTTCATTTGTTTTTTTCTCAGATATAGATATTCTTTTATGTTTGATTCATTTATTCATTCATTTTGATGACTTTATTCATTTTTATACTTTTTATTAGATTGTTCTATTAGCTAAAGTTTTGAGTATTATGTCATATTTCTAAGCTGCTGATTTGTTTATGATGAACTGTTCCACCACATTTTTTGAATTTTGGATAGTAAATTCTCATTGGTGGTTTAAGTGGAAGGTATTTTACTAGGTTCATTTTGCATTACTTCTGCCCAGGTGCCCATAGATTATCACTGGTCTGATACCATTTTCTATGTTAACTTCTCATCTTAGAAAATTGCTAAATAAAACACAATATTGCAAGAATTCAAATCTCAAATCCTGTGAAAAGTATGTCTATAACAAAAGTCTTCCAATGATTTGTTTTTCCTTATCACTTGGGCTTGTTGCCTTGTCTTCCTGTGCTAGTTGGTAAGATTTTTTTCCTGGTGCACTCCCAATATGAAGGATGCAGGCCTCTGAGGTTCCCAGCTTTATGTGGTGGCTGTCATTTCTAACCCCCTGCCTCCCTTGGGTCCATTACCTAAATAGTGGTGTACATCTAAGGCAAGGAAGTAAGAGTGTTTTGTGTGCTTTGAAAGGGAGGGCAGTGTACTACTGCACTAAATAAAACCAACTCAAAGTTGGTCTGCTTTTCATAATACCATGCTATGGAAATTCTAATAATGTCAGTGATAAAATATTCTTCCCTGGGGAAAAAATTGCCATTGGTCTAAGTTGCCTGCATCTGGCGTAGACTATTCCCCCTGCCCCACCTTCTGGACTCAACTCTCCTTGAGTGTGTTAACTTCATTCATCTTAGGCATTTCAACAACCCTCACAGATGTAAGCTGCCACTGATTTTCTTTCTTGTACAATAAGCTATGCCTTTATAACAACGCTTACTACATTTCCTCCAGAACTGCCAGGTGTCTGTCAAGAATGGGTGATTACGTAACACTGACTTTCAAATTTCTAGAACTGCAAGTTCCCATGGTTTACATTTTCTAATATTTAATTTAAAAGTTGTTAAATACCTTTTCTACTTTGTCTTCAGAACACATCATTTCTATCTGTTTATGGCACTGTTGTTGATAGAAAGACTTAAGTTCATTTTCTTTAAGTAACATTTCTAACTTCAGATATTCTTTCCTAATTTCTTCTCGATTCTGGAACAAGCATTTCAGTATTTCTTGATATCTACAAAAAAAAAACCACACACACGAAAAGGTCACTAATTTTGTGATATATGATAGAGTTTACTTAATGATTTGTTTTTCCTTATCACTCAGAATAAGACTCACTGATAAACGACAAATTGGTTCAAGTGACTGTTTCTTAAGTTACAAAAATATTTGGAAGAGGTTATTAACTATTTTTACTATACTGGACTTCTCTCCTTCAAGAAAAATCATGTTATTAAAGATGTAAGTATTATAATGCCTCTGTTATTAGACTGCATTTTGCTTAGCAAAAATAAAATATGTATTTATAGAAAATAGGTGATAATCTGGACCTGTACTATCCCAATTCACAAGGCTCTCAAAGCAAAACAGTAGTTAGTGTGTTGTTGTGGTTTTGGCTCACTGTGTAGAAATAAGCAGTGGGTGGTGTAATCGTATGGTGCCTCCATTGCCTCCTAGGGAAAGTGAGATGGCCAGTTTTTTGCTTCAGAACTTGTTAGAGTGAAAACACACCATAAGGTCAGGGACCCCCCTACAGCCTGGCTATGAGTCAGTGATACTGGCCATGACCCAAAACATACAAGTTTATAATGTGGTAAACCAGAAAAGCCACTGTAGTGTGTTTCCTCAAAAGGGAAATACAGATTTAGAGAATCAAAGTTGGGAAATTTGACTTATATTTCCACCAAATGCATAAAGACCTCAAGCTGAAACACTCCTCTGAAAGTCCAACAATGACCCTGCAATCCAGTGTCCTCTGGGTCAACAGAACATGTGTAACAGCAATATCGTAATTTTATAAAAACATATTCCCACTTTTAAGTCATAGATCAGTTCTTAGCTACAGCAGCAGTATAAGCAGTATAAATATTCACATATAGGCAAAGCTCTCAAAGAAAAATTAACTGTGAAGCCTTTAAAACTGTAACAAAATATATGCACTTAAAAATAAATGTTCTTTGACCAAATTTTAGATATATTTGTAAAGATCTGTGGTAAAAACACTGCCAATTTACGTCAGTAGTTCCTAATGAAACTCTATTGGGAATGAATATAAAACACAATATATCGACTTTACTGTAGTTTTGTCCAACTGATAAATATTTCATAGAAAGTATATACGGACATTGCAATTTCACTGTATTATATTACAACAACACTAATGCCAGTAAATGAATTGATGTTATCTTTAGGTTAAAGCCAAAGATAATTTTTTTAGTTTTTCTTTAACATTTTACTCAAGGACAGAGTTAAATATTTGTCAATTTTGTGGTGCAGACTTATTTCAATTAGTGGTGTTTAGTGATTAGGATGACAGGAAGGTAATTAGAATCAAAGGTTGCTAGAGAGCTCCTTAAAAAAAACCCCAACAAAACAACTATCATTTTAAAACAGAAAAAGTATTAAAGGATTGACAAATATCTATTTTGTAGTCATTTAATACATTCAAGTAACTAGAAAACAAAAATCTTTGTTAAAAACTTTAACTTAATTAACTTTATTAACTTTGTTAATAACTTAATTTTCAAGACATCAATAAAGAGATAACTAGTTGCATGATATATGAGGAATATTAAATTCTTACACAATTTTCTTGATATAGTCACAAGTTTTATAATTATTCTGTATAAAGAACAACTGCATTTCCTTCTTGAGTATTATCTTTCAAATAGCTTTGACAGATATCAAATACTGCATATTCTTCCCTTTATCTATTTAAACTTCATAAACACGTTAACTTTTTTAAAAAAGACACTGCAAATTCACGACATTAAAAAAGTTTTATGTAACAGTGTGATTGATATGATGAAAGTTATCTCACACATTTCTTTCAGGAGATAGATACTTTTAAGGGAAAATGACAAAGGCTATGAGATATACCATTCTATGATTACCATCTTTATAAAATAAGTAAATTATTTAACATGTTGCATGACTTAAAACCCTAAGTTTTTATTGTTGGTAAAGTAAGTTGAAATGTGAAAAATATCCAAATAATTGCTTATTTCATAGTTCAGACCATCTCCCTCCCGAATCATTTTATCAGAAGGAGAGGTTCGACAATTGAAAGCCATCAGCTCTAGAAGTCTACTATTTGTAAGGTGTTAATTGATAACCAGATATGGTTAAGTAGGGTTGAGCAATTACATGCAAGCAATGACTACAAATCTGAGCAGTTGGTGACTTAATTTTCCAGACATCAATAAAGAGATAACTAGTTGCATGAGGACCAGTCATACATTTCACAAATAAAATAATAAGGAAACTACTAATAATATATCAGTTAAAAGCTTTTTTTGATAAGAACGAATAAATGAGAAATCACTTTTACTTGTTATTTTTTAAAAGATATTATAAAATTGATGTGATATAACAAAAGTATCATGAGACTAATAAAATATAACAATTATTTTTACAATGGGTTATCTGCATTAACAGAACATAATTTAAACACTTTAGAAAATATCTTGTATAAACAGAGCTCTGATACTATAATAATATATAGGCTAACTTTTTGCTATATAAAAAAATGATTCATTTCATTGATAGAAGTAACTTTAATTCTTATGTTTGTGAAACAGCACAGTGTGGGAGCAAAAAAATTAAAGATCTGAAAGAGATGATTTTTTATAGTTCTTACTCTTATCTATCAATGAGACAATATGCCACTTCAAATTTGAAAGGGTTGTTGTAATGATCAGCTGAAATTAATACAGCCCTAAAATTCATTAAAAATTATAGCCATCTACAAAAATAGTATTATTTATTATTATTAGAAGTAGTTATCTTAACATCTGAGGTCAACTGAAGCAGAAAATAATATACATTTTTTTCAAATCAAGGATATTTTATGTAAATTAACATGCAAATCAAATTTTAAAAAGGTGCTGTAACTGAAATTAAGTTGAGGTCATTGTTGACTAGTTTTTCTTATGTACATCAAGACACCTTCTATATACTCTAGTGTTCCAAAATAGTGTGAATAAGCAATAGTTTAAGTTGTGATTGGTTTCTCATACTAATGATAAGGTAAAATTGGCTCTGGGCAATGTCAAATAAGTTTAACTTTACTGAACTTTAACCAAAGTTAACAGATTCTCTTACTACAGGGCCTCTTAGAGCCTTCAATATGCTGATATACTTTGAAAATCTTCTAGATTCCTTAAGTACTAATTTCCAAACTTGTTTAATCTTCTTAGAGTTATTCAAGATGCATAGCCTTTGAACCATCTAGACAATTTGTGTTGATTGCTTAGGGGAAAGTACTTTTGAGTACTGCACTATTGACAGCTCTCATTTCTTTTAAATATACCAGCTAGGAAGCTTAGTGTGAACCTATCAAAATTCTCTATTGACTTATATCATTGAAAGAAGTTCTTTCAAATAATTAGCAACGTAAACTCATTAAGTGATTATGAGTTATATAGAGCCAAGAAAAGGTAGATATAATTTACAGAAGCTATACAAATAATGAAAATGCCAGATGCAATCACCTGAATGTGTTCCCTGAAATTCATGTTGAAATCCAGCACTCAAGGAGGTAGGGGTCCTTGGGATGTGATTAGGTCATGAGGACTGAGAGCCTACAGATGGGATTAGTGCCCTTATAAAAGAGACTGCAGAGAGGCCTCTCTCTCCTTTGGCCATGTGAGGATTCAAGAAGTCTACAACCTGGCAGAAGCCAAGAGCCATGCAGGAGGACGGAGTGTCCGCCGCAAATCTGGCGGAACCGATCTAATTTATATCCACTGTGATCAGCTCTCTCATAACTTGCCAGATCCAGACCCAGGATTCCGAGTAACCAGACCCCTCCCAAGAAGGAGACTATAATTTCGGATTCCCTGGTGGAGGAAAATTATTTTTAAAAAAAGAAAAGAAAAAAAAAAAAAAAAAAAAAAGAAGTCTACAACCTCTAACAAGGCCAGCACCCAACTACACTGGTACCCTGATCTTGGATTTCCAGCCTTAAAATACCCACACTAATAAAAGACAAACATGCAAATTGACCGTACCTTCACTACACCTTAAGCCACGCCACCAGCCAATCAGAGCGACTATATGCAAATTAACCCAACCAAGATGGCGGCC